GGGGTTGCATTGAATTAATGAGTCATGACATTACTAAAGAGCTCGCAGAGTCCCATCTATTATATTTTAAACTACTAACATTTAGTTTTTTCACTTCACCAGTAATGTAACCCTACAATCCTTTAGATTTGATGAACAGTAAACAAGACCTCGACCAAACAATATAATTCGTTTCATCAACTTTTACGGGATTGATTTGTAATGAAGGATTATCAAAACTAGTAACACTCACTTTTTTTTCTTCTATCATCTTGTGGTATTAAAAATAATGAGAAAGATACTCAATAAGAAAAGACGAACCTCCTAATATGCACCAAATGAGCCAAGAAAAAGACCAAAAAATCCAAAAAAAGCCAAAAAATCCGAAAATAGATATGGCTAGACTCGGCTCGGCTCAGCGGCGACTCGGACTCAGAAAGCTTGGCTCAGGAGCGCGGAATGGCAAGATCGGATGTCCCCGTGAGCGGAAAGCTGGATTGGCATGCGGAAGACATATGTTCGACAATGCAGCGCGGTTCAGTGTGCGGTCGGAGCGGGAGGTCCAGACGAGTCGCCTCAAGGCGAGGAACAGTTAGGAAGACGCGGCAGAAGGTACGGTTCAGTGGATCAGCCGAATGTGCGCAGCTGCATGAAATTTGGAATCTGGGCGTGCGATGCGTCTTGGATCGCGTGCGAAACACCAAAAAAGAGCCAGATCTTGGTTTGCAACGGCCGTGCGACGCGATTCAGCCCATAATGAGGTGATTCTTCCCGGCGCATGGGGTTCACGCGCTTCCACTACCAACAGCGCGTATGCCTCACACGCGGCAGAGATTCCTCCGGTCTGGTGTTAGTGAGCGACAGCTTCATCTAGGTGGTTGGAGAGATTGGATGTTTTGATAGGTGAGTACCAACTCAGCTTATTTTGCTATTTTAACGTTTTGAAAAAAATCCTGAAATTAGAACCCTAAAATTAACTTTATTTTGACTTGATATCACGAAGATTTTTAGAGAAAAATGAACTACTAATTTTATTTCTTATGTTTTGTATTTACACTTAAAAGATATATATAAAATAACTATCCTTATTCTAGGTGGACTCTAATTACAGAATATAACTATGTTATTAGAACTTTAACTAACAAAATATCATATTTAGTATAGTATTCTACTTAGTATGAAATCTTTATCAACAATAAGACAGAACAGCTTTCAAGCAATGGATATACCTCTTCAAGATTTTCCAGCTCCATCATTTGCTGTATTTGTTCAGCGATCATTTCCTGCAAAAAGAACAAAAAAAGACACTTACTTCAACAGTTATAATTCAAACCAACTTAGAGACATACATGTAAACAAGTGCCACACACCGTATTGCCCACTGCTTCAGCAGCAAGCACATCAGAGTCCATTTCTACCTCGATTTCAATCATTGAAGAAATCTAACAAATAGATGAGAGCCCAGTTTAATTAGTTGATGACACTTTGCATCCAGAACGCAAATCTGGAGGGTTGTTCAGAGGTGAGAAGAGAACAAGATGTTGATTAACTTAAGGTGAGACATTCATCTTACTCTTGCATAGCTGTCAATTAATTCAATCCTTCCCTTCAGGGAATTTTCCAACCCTTCTCGAACCCGTTTGACCCTACTTCTGCGAGCACTGAGGAGGAAGAAAGCAGAAATTACTGTTTAGAAGTAATGGACGCAAAAGAATAAAGTTTCAGATTTTCAATTCTCTTTAATACACTAGTGCTATTCTTTTTCACCAAGGAAAAAAATAAATCATGTTGAAAAGTTAAATTATCAATTAATAAAATAACAATAGTACTATTTCAGATGACAAACCGATAAGAAGGCTCCCCAACAGCAAAAATTTTGTTCTCCAGCTGGCATATTCGAGCCAACATCCAGACCTAGAAGAAAACAAGTCAACTTTTCGAGTAAGGATTAAAAGAAAGACAACTGCTACTTTCTTTTCAATGGAACGCATTGTCAATTTTTTGGATAATACAAGACAATCTTCAACAATCATGCATGGCATAAATCTACAATTTTTATAGAAATTATTTGTAATTTAACTAAAAGATGATGAAAATGCTCCCAAAAATGTAAAAGAAAAAGATCTCATATGTAATTCACGTGGATTGGAGCAATACATTCTAAATTTAATCAACTCAACTAAAAGATACTGAAAATCCTCCTTAAACGAAAACACTTCACCACATGAAATTTAATGTGGAATTATAACATTGTTTCTTTTTTAATCAGTTTGCATCCTCGTCATTTATTTAAGTGAAATTTTGTTAATGAATTCCATAAAAAATTTTAATTTATTCCAAATATAGAAGAAAAGATTGTCATGGGATAACTTTCCGGATTATATCATGTCCAAATCATAAGCCATACTCAGTTTAACTCCCACCATATAACACAACTAATTTGACAATGCAGAGATTGCTTCTGACGATATTCAGATAGATAATGAAGTCTGGTGCTTTTAATAATTAATATACCAACAAGAAGTCAAAACATTGAATTGAGACACACGAAAATAGACCATCTCTTAACATTTCTCCCACCATCATCTGAACGAACTTGTTTTTGTTAGCATCACTCACGTTTTCACAACAATCATAAATTATATGTTCGAAGTTATATTTTTTATTAAGTTACTTATTAGGAATATAATCTCCATCAGCACTAACCATACAACAAGATGTTCAAGAGGCCAGGGTGGTCCGACACTTGAGATTTTTATCATTACAGGAAAACTCAAATCTTCCCAACTCCAAGAGAGTCAAGTTTGGAAAAAAGAAAAGGACTACTAACTGAAGGAAGTAGTTTATAGTACACTTGGTTGCTCTTCCATGAGAAAAATACTCTTTTTCAGCAGTGTCTTTTAGATCCTTGATGCGAGACTGAAGTATGTCATATTGAGACAAAAGTTGCTGCTTGATAGCTAGTGCATCCACTGATCTTGGAGGAAGCTAGACATTTAAGAATAGAAAAAACACAATTAACTAGTTAAGGACTTAACTTTAAAAAAAAGTAACTAGTTAAGGACAAGAAAGCAATCAGTAAACAAAAATAAGCATAACTTACGCCCACACCAAAAAGATTCCATATGAATCGTAGAAATGATATTGCAGAGTTAAAAAAACTACCCTTATGTGCAATTAAGAAGCACTAGTGAATTAAACAGTATTGGTCAACAGCATCTTGATAAATTCTAAATACTTAAACATGCCAACTTTATAGAATCAGAATATTTTATTATGCAACTCTGGTCAATAGCCCATGACATGTTTTCAGAAGAAACAAAGACAGAAAAAAGGTTGAGCCACTTAAATCATAGCTGTTTGATCCTATAATTTGTCAGATTTGGACAATATTATATTATTAAGCAAATACCCACTTCTATGAAAATAAATCTGAATAAACTAAAAGGAACTTTCACTCAAAGCAAGGAACAATTATGATAATAAGATGCATAACAAGAAAATACTACAAGGATGTAGTTAACTAGCTCAAAATTTAACCAATTCTATACTTCAAAAAAAAAAAAAAAGAACGCAGATGAAACTGGAACACATTTAACTTAATACTTTATTTAGTAATTTAAATCTAGAACCAAATTTCCTGTAGAGACTGTGGCTAACAGAGAGGGAGAATATAAATTTAAATCTAGAACTAAAATCAGGAAAAAGGTCACCTGATTCAACTGGGGGAGAACATAAGCATTTAAAGTGGCTCCAACAGAGAGGGACGCAACTGCAGCAACTGAAAGTATCTGAGGCAAGCTGGGATCAATCATTCCAGAAGCAGCATCACCAGCGGCCAAAACAGCAAGAAGTGAAATCAGGGCGGAAGGTGTAAATAAGGAAGAGTTTTCATCTTTCATGGGAGCTCTTAGTAATAGTGATTCACGACCATCTCTGTGGTTAGTCAGGCACATAGGTTCTCCAGGGTAGAAATTTGGAGCCTTTGGAGTAAACTTAAAGGGACCCACCTCTCGATAAATATTTGATGGGGCCGCACAAGCAATAGTCACCCTTTCTCCTTCTTGTGCAGGGAGATCAACAGTTTCGGTTGCAAACCTGTGAGTACGTGCCATACCAGAAGGGGTTTGAACCTGAAAGTTGGAAGAAAGCTGAATTAAAAGCTTCTCAAGTCAGATTATTTATTTGCCACAACTCCAGAAAATCTCAACCAAAAAGAGTGTGTGAGGAAATGGCATCTAATGTGCTTCTTTTTCACATCATGAAGACAACTGTCCTATAAGTCTACAAGTTTAAAATAAACAAAGTGTACCACAAGAGAGTGAACAGCAGCAGGAATGCTTTTCTTCATTATTTGTAGAAATCTGAGGCCTCTTTCCCAAACCGGAACGTCCTTGCTGCGTTCGGCAGGAGGAGTTCCTTAGAAAAGTGAATATCCCGGCATCAACACCATAAACAAATATGTGGATTTATCAATTGGAAAAAAAAGCATGGTCAAGGGTATTTATGACTTTAAAATTACATCTATACTAAATAAACCACAAAGCAAATGTGGTTTAGAATCTTAATTTTGCATATGAAGCTATTATGAACTTGAAGTGCTACAATAACAACCAGCTAACAGAAGCCAACTGGAATATTTTTTGATGAGAAGGAAAACTGACTTGAAATTAGATAAGATGAAAGTGAACCGACCTGAGTTCTTCTGACTCAATCCTAATGATGTTTCCTGAAACAAGCTCATACTGGTATCGGCATTTGGCACAAGATGCAATCTACAGAGCAAGTATTGCGACAACGTTAAAATATTATATGAAAGGAGCTTATCCCCCAAGTTTGGATTAGAGTAAGTTATATGGAGAAAAGGTCATACAGTGTCAGCCACTCAACTTACCGCAAGCATTACTAAAAGTAGAAGATTTAATAATTGAACAAGCCAAAAAGCTAAATCTAGACAAAGAACTATGATTCATTTAAGAACTGAAAAGATTAAAAAAAAATATCAAGAAAAGCTACAAATTTGTGTTTTTTTAAGAAAAACACACACACATAATAAGCTCACAACTGAATCATGAAGTAAACGAACCACCAAGTAGATAACTATAAAAGAAATACCTGGACTCCCTGCTGAGGTTGAGCCACTGCAACGGCTACCAAACAACTTGGACATCTTACAACCTTTCCAAAAGGAACCTGTTAACACTCAGAAGGGGAAACCAAAATGTTTTAAATAGATATCATAAGCATATACATAGATAAAGAAAACGGAATGAAGAAAAGGATTACACAAAATAATTGTCTAATTTTAAAAATAATGTCTGCTGGGTCCATTTCCTTACCTTCGAACAGAGATCAAAGAATGTTATAAATGTAGGCAAGATACGAACACAAGGATCTTAATTTTTTTTCATCAGTAAAGAGAGATTTCATTATATAACCATTTAAAATTTACATTACAAAGAAATACAAACTACACTTCACATACCTCCTCCCCAGGGGAGACACCAACTCGGCATATATCGTCGATCAACCTAAGAGCATCTGAAACCCTCAAGGACGCTGCAAGACCCTGAACTAACGTAGTATAAACATTAACGTCCGGTCTAGACCATTTCCACCTCTCAACCAGAGGCCCATTTTCACTAACATCTGTATCAAATCATCAAACAAAATGTAAGTTCAAAACACTAAACTAAGCAACAACCCGTTGGATTTTCAGCTACCTTGATCGAAGCTTGCACGCATCGCGTAGAAAACAGAGAGTGCCAAGTCAGCATTGTTCCGATCGAGGGCGGCTTTTATGATTAAACCACAATCAGAATTACTAACGACGCCGCCATTTAGTTCGGTACTTTGAGCGATAACATCGAGGGCCTCACTGGCGTCTTTAGCACCTGAAGCCCTGGCAAGCAACTCGTCGTTTAATACGTTAGAGACAGAACCGGAGTTCTCAGCGACGCCGTTTGGAGTCTCGCTTAAGGAAGCACGTGTGGTGAAGGAGGAATAGTATGTGGATTTCTTGAGACTGGAAGAAGGAAATAACACACCGGTGGTGAAGAGGAAAGATAAGAGAGCAGTACTGTTGTTGTGAAGAGAAGATTCAGAGAGTTTTGCGAGGTGAGGAGAAGGAGATGAAGGAGAGAACCGAGAGAGTAGAGTGGAGGCTAAGCTTAGAGTCATTTCTCTTCCCCTTTTTCAGCTATCTTCTTGTAAACGAATTTTTATTAAGAAAAAATTAAAAGCAGAAGCTTGAAAAACTGTTGACGATAAAGATGAGGAAGGAGAGGCTGGTACTTGCGAGGAGGACAGGAGTGGGCGAGGAGGGGGGGAGGAGTGGAGAGTTTGTTTTAGGTTCATTCTTGGTTGTATGTATCTGTGAGCTCGAAATGATCGTGAGCCGTTAAAATAAGATCAGACGGCTTAAAAATATCAAACATAAAAAACAGAAAATATATGGAGGTGCGGGGAATCGAACCCCGTGCCTCTCGCATGCGAAGCGAGCGCTCTACCATATGAGCTACACCCCCTTGATATTTTAATTGGCTGTTTAATCAACAATATATTAATTAAAAAATGAACTTGAAAAAAAAGTAACAATCTACTTTAGCAAATCCGTAAACAATACAGTTGTGCTATGAGAACCTTAAATAATAAGTCAAAAAGTAAATTCTGAAAGGTAATTAAATCAAACTATATATTCCCTCACCGCCTTGATACGATGACTGAATGTGATCCATACAATAACTGAATACACTTAATTTTAGTTAACAAAACCATACTTCCACTTACTAAATTCATTTAAGTGTTCAGCTCTGGAAACCGCGCAAGATAAATACACTTGATGCAGAGAAACATTGATCAATTTTACAGAATTGCAGGCTGCTATACACTGCTAGATCAGAAAAAAATTATATTTGAAAAAAAAAAGTACCAAGGTTGAAGTTGAATGTCCTTGAACAGAGAACACCAGAAGGACCAAAAAAGCAATAAAGCAAGAGAAAAAAGTAAATGGCAAACCCTTTTTTTTTTTTTATCTGGGCACCAAGCCATGCAACATACATCCAATGCCTATCTTTTAGCAACGTTATACTCCAAACATACATCAGTTGCTAAATCGCGCTCTTGCCCAAGGCACTCTTGGCCTACTGCCTCCATTACGTTGTAAATTGCTGTTCTTCTGCCTTGATAATGCCCTCATCCTCTGCTCTTTCATATTTGCAAACAGGGAGTCCAGTGTTTGAGGCCTCTGCTTGGCTGCCACATTCCCTTGCTGAGACTGATTTTCCTGTTGCTGAGGCACCTGTAAAGTAAGTAACTGCCAGTTAACACTGCACTGGAATTCTTTAAGACATGACATATTTAAAACCTACAAGCATCACAAGCATGGCCTGAGCCATTTTATCATAGTCAATCCTTCAAGCTCTCCACTTGTCTCTATAGTTTCAATGTTCAGCATTTTACTGGAAAGCAGACAAAAGTAGCTATGAGAAGAAAAAGAAAGAGTACCTTCACAGCAAAGCCTCCACTTGCAGCCCTTCTCTGTGTTGGCAGAGCTCCAAACCTGCAGTCAAAAACACCCAAAAAAAAAGCAATTGGAGAAACTGAGGTAGAACATCAAATCGAGAAGCCTAAAGTCGGAAGAAACCCAAGAGCCACTGAAGATGCCACTGCCAAAGCTGATGAGTTGCAGTGCCAAAACTAATTTATCATCACGGATAGGCTCTACATATATCTCACTAAGAGAATGATAAGATAAACCATTCAGCAAAAATGAATGACCTCCAGAAGGGATGAGAATGTGTTGCATTGGAAATGCCTTGCTACTGTGAAAGGTTAAGAAGATAGAGGGAGAAGAAGCCTTCATATCATAGCAGAGCTTGAGGAGAGCATCGGCCAATTCTTCATGCATACTCATTCTTGAGGAATATCAATACCAGATTCAAAATAAAATTAACAAACCACCCTCATAAGCTGCAAAATGCCTTCCCTAGAAGGCATCAAATTCCCTCGTCAGGTCTAAAGTACTACAAAAGATGAAACTACACCCATTTTGACATTCACCAATGCAAGATTCTAGCCACTTCCTTTTTGCAGATACACAGAAACAGCCAGTATATATTGTTATCCAATTTTAAATCTAAGGTTTTCACAATAATTGCATCCCAATCTTTAAAGATCATAATAATCCAGACATCTAAGGAACAGATGAGAACAAGTCAGGACAGAATGAAGGATGATGACAATAAATTGACAGCTGAAGCAGCCATTGCGTTATATTTGTCTCCCAGATAAATATCAGCAGAGCACTCAAAGATCAACAATCTCATTTATCTTCTTCTCATGTAAGAAGAATCAATAGAATGTCACACGAGGGTGTATAAAATCAAAGCAAATGTAGGATAAGTTAGGAGAGTGCACCACATTCCCAAAAGCAAATAAATCAACAATAGCTCTAGAGTCAAAGCAGCAGGTCCCTCCATGGAAGAAGTCACACTTCTATTCCCAACATTTGGCTTCAGAAAAGCAGAAAATTATAGTCAAGAAATCTGCTTTCATAAGTGTCATGCCCATCAGAGTAATCCATTAGATACCCAACAAATATCAGTGGGAGGAAGAGCGGTCTGTGCTATAAAAAACAATGAACCAGCTAGGCAGAGTGTTTATCCATCTGCTAAATAAATTATCTCACTCAATAAAATTCTAGTGCTTCCAATCAGCCTCAATTCTTTATTGTTCAATCCCATTTCTTTGGTAGATACTGCTCCACCAAACTTAGAGACTCTACTACCACAGCCAAGAATGACAAGAGACCAATTCGAAGTGGATGCTCATAAACAAATGATGTATACCATATCTGAAAGATGTCCATCGTCATAGAATGCACGTAATCATTCAAGCATTCCACTCAGGATAGCATGAACAGAAACATCGAATTCATTTATGCCCAAACTGGCTACTTTCCATAAAACCAATCACAATTACGTGCGCAACATTATGTAGGGTGACAAAAAGCAACCAGCAAATTGCAGAGGTCATCTACAATATTGAAATCCAGATTTACCTGTAAAATATCCAAACAAGGATGGAAAGGACAAACTCAAGACCTACCATCACCATTCAAATAATATAAAGAACAAAATTGCTGCTTGCTTCGCAAAAACGATATAATAAATCAACTGACAGGTACCTTGATTTGTTAAATTCTGCCATTCGAACACCAGAAGAAGCTCTAACAAAAAAAGGAGCAACAGCAGCCTTCCGAGCAACCTCTTTTGTGAAAGGAAATTGGTTTCCTTGAAAATTTGATCTTCTCTTTGCAAGAGCCCCCTGCTCATTAATAACAGGTCAACAAAATAATACCACTATTAGAGATTGAAAAAAAAACAAAACAAAACATACGCAAGATAACAGAGAGGAAAAAGCACCAACCTGTCTAACAGCAGACCTGGAGTCCATATATCGTCTCACCTTCAATGCATTCTCTTTGGCAGCATTAAATTTCTGATTTTTATTCTGTTAAAATAACAAACATAAAATAATATTTAACCAGAACTCTGAATCATGTGGCTGCGAATAACACCAGATAGCATATAAGTGTTCTTTTGTGAGGACATCTTTCTTACTGGAGGTCTTCGCTGCTTCTTTCCTTTAGTTGAGGTATTCTTAGACATCTTGATGATATCATCTAGGTTAATAAAGGTAAGAAAACACATGAGTATGGCTTAAGTATTGCAGGCACAAACGAATATGCCTAAATACTAAAAATGCAAGTTATCATACCCAAAGCCATGCCCATTTTCTTCTCAGTGAGTGCAATTGCCTCAGCTGTAAGTGGTTCAGCCGCCATCTGAGAGAGAAGGAATAACTGAGTGATACTGGAAAACTAACAATAATATGAGAAGAGATAACAAGTAAAACTGGAAAAAGCATCTAATGATCATAACACCAAAAAGGTTAACAATTACTTTAGAAGTTAGCTGGAAGGAGGAAGAAAAAAAGGATTTTTTCATCACGCTCAAAGATCGAATTACTCTACAAAGGAATAATATTTGGAACCAATTCGATTAGCAAGTATAACTCAGAATGGCCATGTAATTCTCATAACGCACCTTCATAAGCCCTTCACCTTCATAAGCCCTTCACATACCTTTAGTTAGTAATTTCGCTTACAGAAAACAGTATAAAGTATAAACAACAGCAAAATCAACACATACCCCAAAACAAAACAAAACAAGCATACATTTGGAAATCAGAAACCTTCTTAAAGAGCAACACTACTCAAGTTAATTTACCATTCAAAAAAAAAAGGGCAAAACAAACAACCAAGAATACAAAAGTCAATTCAGATTGCCACGATTCAATTTCGCAAAAACAAGAGAAATGGCACCTAATCTAGGGTTTCCAATTTTGTTTAACAAAATCCAATACAGCAGCCTGAAAAAGAAATCATCAAAGAAATTACACGCAGACGAAGCATATAAAGGGCGAGAGATCCAGAAGCGGTGCTCAAAAAGAAAAGAAATTTCAAAAACAAACGAAAAAACACGAAGGCTTTCAGATAACAGAATAGGGCTCACCGATTGCAGCGTGAAAACTCGACGAAGCTCGCTCTGATGTCTGATGAAGCGATAATCAAACAGAGCGTGGACCAGAGTAGGGTTAGAGATTCGCGCACACAGAGATATATGCGAAAGGGGACCGAGGAAAAGAAGGAGAGGAAAGAAAATGGGTAATTTTTTGAGAGTGAAAAATAAGAACGCGTCAATAAAAGAGTAATTTATGAAGGAAGACGGATTTGTAAAGTGGAAATTCAGATTGTTTCATAATATTATTTCAAATCCGTAAATATTACGTCATATTAATTAATACATCTGCTTGCTTTCCCTTCTCTTAATCAAGCAACTGAAATCATCTCCCAGTAGGATACAGCTCACCGTTGTAAATAATGGCTTGCCATGCTGGTTCTGGAATACGTTCTTACGTGGCACTGTTTTTATTGGCTGTTACTTTCTTCAACTAATTTGGGTTTTATTTCCCATATTTAACTAGCCATTCCACGTGCCATATTGAATTTCTTTTTTAAAATTTTACATAATAAATTAGTAAAACAAATTTAGGTGTAATAAAAATTAATTTTCATAAATAAATTTTATGTATATTTTAAGAAAATAATTTATTAATTTTTATTTATAAATATTTATTTTAAAAAAAATCAACATATTATATATTATTTTAATAACATAATACATAATATTAATATATAAATCATGATGATAATAGTAAAATATATAAACCTCAATAGAACTTATAGTAAATCATCTTTAAAAAAATGATATTTAGTTAATATTTAAAGGTATAACATTATCAATCATTATAAATAAATTAGAGATGTAAATTCATTTGGTGTAGACCTCATAAAGATTATATGTATTGCATATTTGTGCATTTGTATTATTCTAGATTATCGCAAGTGATTAAACACTTATTATAAGATAAAATTAGTGCATTAAGAGAACGTACCTCTATTTTTCTAATATTTTCTATTATTTTGATTGGCATCTCTTTGTATCATGTGTCTTTTATCAACACTTTCATTTTTATTATGCAGTTGAAAACAATAATGTACAAAATAAAATAAGATGAAATTAATATAATGATAGATAATAATTAACGAAATGAAATCTAGTTATCTTTGGCAAATTGTTTAATATCTCTTTGAAAATAATGTTTCTTGTCCTTTTTTTAATTTAGGTTGCTTTGATTTTAATCCCTTTTAAAGAAGTTACCTTTGAAAAAACATAAAATTGTTCATTATGTATACTTGTTAAGACAAATGCAAACCAACTTTTTTTAATGATCAACCTTTACTTCTGTTTATTATCATAATGCAACAAACTTTTACTGGAAATTGTTTATGCTTGATAATGATATAAATTCATTCATATCCTTGGAATTAATATGTAGTCTCTAATTTTCTCTATATTATTATCTTCACTTGAATAGTATATTTGTTCATTTTAGTGATTGTAAGTCATGTTTATTTATACATACCAAGTGAAGAATTTATATTTTTCAGAAGTATAATTGTCATACCATTTTTTACCTATAAAATATGATTTAAAAGTTCTAATATCTTAAATGATTTTAGGAACTCTAGAGATATAGTGTTGATTGGTTTTTTGTGACTTATGAGCTTTTAAACATCTCATCAAAATGTATTCATGTGTTTCACTTTAAACATTTATTGAAACTAAAGAATAGAAAAAGAATTCGAATTTTGAAATTGTAGTTGTACGCTCCTTTTTATTATCAGTTTTTGCAGTAGAAGCTGTTGTTCATTTATACAAGAAGGAAAGGAAGAAGCGCGCAAAATATAACAGAAAATTAGTACTAACATGAGGTCTGCGTGCTAAATAAAATAACAGTCCTACGTGGCAAAACAAATTAACAGAACTAACAATATCAACTAATCACCAATAAAAAATTAATGTATTGTATTAGGCCCCTACAAGTTGGGAAGAGTAAATATTGAAAATTCCAAGCTTGGATAACAGCAGATGAAATTGAGTACGCAAGGCTTTGGTGAAGAAATCTGCAAACTGTTGAGATGAAGAAACAAACATTAACCATGTAAGACCTTACTAAACTTTTTCACGAATGAGATGGCAATCAATCTCAATATGCTTGGTTCTTTCGTGAAAAATAGGATTATGGGCAATCTTCATGGAAGAATGATTATCACATAATAACAATGCTGCAGCAGGTGGAATAATATGCAGATCATTAAGAAGAAAGGATAAGCATTGAATTTTACAAGCTGTGGTAACCATAACGCGATACTCTACTTCAATAGAAGACTTAGCAATGGTAGTTTACTTTTTAGACTTTTAGGAAATAAGAGCATCTCCAAAGAAAATGCAGAAACCAGTGATGGATTTGCGAGTAAGAGGACTTGAGCCCAATCAAAGTCAGAAAATGCTTACAGCTGGCAGGTAGATGAAGAAGAAAATAATAAGCCTTGACCAGGAGCTAGTTTAAGGTAACGCAGAATCCTGTGGACAGCAGTTAGGTCTGCTGTGGTGGGAGTATCCATGTGTTGAGAAACTTGTTGTACAACAAAGGATAAATCTGGCCTAGTATTAGTTAAATATAACAGTTTTCCAACTAATTGGCGTTAAGCAATAGCATCAACTAAGGAAGTAGATTCAGTAGAAGTTGGAGAACCATTAACAACCAGAGTTGAGACTGGTTTGCAACCCAGAAAATCAGTTTCTGTAAGCATTTCAAGGGCATAATTACGTTGACAAATGTGAATTTCAGAATGAGAACGAGCAATTTCAAAGCCAAAAAAATATTTGAGTGTGCCAAGATCTTTGATGTTGAAGGATGCATAGAGAAAAGCTTTAATATCTGAAAGAGCTGTCATGTTATCACTAGCCAAAATAATGTCATTTACGTGCACCAACAAAGCAAGAAAATAATTAGTGGAATGTTTGACAAAGGGAGATGAATCAACAGCACCATGAACAAATCCATGTCGTAGTAAAGCTGAAGATAGTTTGGTATACCATTGGCGACTAGCTTGTTTAAGTCCACGAAGGGACTTTTTGAGTTTGCAAACCTAATGGGAAAAGGAAACAAACCAGGTGGAGGAAGTATATAAACTTTTTCATCAAGGTCACCATGCAAAAATGCATTATTAATGTCTAGTTGATGTGGAAACTATCCTTTAACAGCAACAACAAGGAATGTTTTGATAGTTGTCATTTTGGCAACATAAGAGAATGTTTTTATATAATCAAATCCAAATTGTTGTTTAAAGCTTTTGGCAACGAGTCTAGCTTTATACAGTTTAACAGATCTGTCATCTTTATATTTGACCTTAAATACTCATTTGCAGCCAATAGGATGTTTTCTAAGAGGTAGAGAAGTGAGATCCCAAGTGTTGTTAGCTTCAAGAGCTTTTAATTTAGCTTGCATAGCAGCACACCAATGTGAGTGTTTAACAGCCTCAGAATAAGTTTTAGGCTCACTGGATACAATAATAACAAGAGCAAAGGCTTTATATGAAGTAGATAAATTAGAATAAGAAAGTACTTGAGAAAGAGTGTGAGGTGAGCTTGTACATGAAAAATCTGTCTATTTGATATGTGAAATCATGAGTAGCCTGAGCAGCCTCCTTATTGATCAATTGACAATGGTAATCATGAAGGTATGAAGGAGTATGTCTGGTTCTAATAGAACATTGAAGAGAAACTAGTTATGGAGGAGGATCAGAATTAGAAGGTGAAAAAGTATCAGAATGAGAAGAAGAAAAAAATTCCAAAGATTAATATGGAACAGGATAAACAAAAGAAGTATCTGAAGATGGAGAATAAGGGAAGTTTTTCTCATAAAAAATCACATTTCTTGAAACTACAATTTTCTTGGTATGCAAATTCAGAACTCTATAATCTTTGGTGCCAGGTTTGTAACCCAAAAAAATACCCTTAATGGCTATGGGAGAAAACTTGGATTTGTTATGTGATAGTGTAGAAACAAAACAAAGACAGCTAAAAACCCTTATATGAGATAAATCTGGTGGAGGTTAATGTAATAATTCATAAGGAGTCTTGTTATTTATAATGGGAGATGGGATACGATTGATTACGTGTATAACATGAGCAATAAAGAAGGGCCAATATGAAGCAGGTAAATAACTTTGAAATTTCAAAGCACAAGCCACATTAAGAAAATGTTGATGTATGCGTTCTGCTAAGCCATTCTATTGAGGTGTCTCAATACATGAAGTTTGGTGTATTATACTATGAAGATTGTAGAAATCAGTTATAAAAAATTTAGAGCCATTATCACTTCTAATAGACTGAATTTTAGAATGAAATTGAGTGGAAACCAAGGTATAAAAGTTCTGTAATAACTGTCTTGTTTCAAATTTACATCGCATAAAGAAAATCCAGGTAAAACGGCTGAAGTCATCTATAATAGTGAGAAAGTATTTATAACCAGAGATAAAATTCTTAGGAAGACCCCAAATATCCACGTGAATTAACACAAAACAATGTTTACTACTTGTAGTACTCAAGGGAAAAGACAAACGTTTTTGTTTGGCCATATGACAAATATCACAAACAAAATTAGAAGGAGTAGAAATCCCCAAATGAGATTGTAGAAGCTGTTGGAGTCTAGGAGTGAATAGATGCCCCATGCAATAATGTCATAATTCAAAAGATGTGGTGGACAGGGATGAAACATGATTGACAACTGGTGTAGGTGAAGAACATGTCAAGTGATAAAGACCATCTCTATGCTCAGCTAGCCCAATCATTTTCCACGATCGAAGGGCTTGTATGAAACATGGATGATTAAGGAAAACAAAGCAACAATCAATAGTTGATGTAAGTTTTTGAACTGATAATCAATTGAAGGTAAACTGTGGAACAAAGAGAACTAAAGTAAGTGTGAGATCTTGTGAAATGTGAACAACTCCAATGTGAGTAACTGAAAGAGTAAGATCATTAGGTAATTTAACAAAGAAATGCGAAGAGAATCTCCTTGGGCAAATTGTTCTCTTAAATCATTTCAAACATCTATTGCAGTGTCTAGCCAAATAATACTTTATGCAATAGATGGAGAAACAGAGTGCATCAACTATGATAAAAACCATGGTGTTGCAACATTGCCAAATAGAATAAAGAGAATCATTTTTTTTCAGGTGCTGGAATGCTTCCATCTATAAAATTGAGTTTGTT